CACGTGGAACGGAATGCTACGAGTCGGGGCTTAGAAATGCGCAGTTTGAGGGCAATGTGTGTGTGTGCACCTTCGTATCAATGAATCTTTGTGGATCACACTAGTCAGGCACGCGACATTGTTGCTTATACTTGTGATCACTGCCGCTCCCCATGTTGGCTCTGCTTTTACATTTGGTGATTGGGGACAGAACATATGCGTTAGAAAAAGGCATTTAAGCAAATTCTCTCTCTATTGCAAGGTTTAATTTAGAAATTTCTAACATTCACGAAGTAAGTGTGTTTTGATCGTAAGTAACTACGCAATATCCAGATTAAGGGGGCTTAAATAAAGTCCACCTTCAATTTTGTCTGAAAAGATTAGTTTAACCATATTTTAAGTTGCCTTTTTATAACTATTGACCGATCAGACAGAGATATTTTATAGCAAAACAACATTTTGGTATTTTAATAGGTCTATTCGTGATTTTATGCAAGTAAGTAATTTCTTCACTAATAAGTACCAAATGTGGAAGGAGGCCAATTGAGAATATATGTTCTAAGCACGACAAGATTAAAATCTGGTTCGCATCAGCCACAAATATGGGCCTAATGTGTTTGCTTGAATAATATCGTTTATAAAATAACAAGATCTTAGCCATTTAACAATTTAACTGCCGCTTAAGAGTGTAGCAAGTGTATCACAAATTAATGATTTTTACAAATAAGTTTCCAACTAAATTTAAAAAAATCCGCAAATTTATCAAAACCCCGCAGAATCCATGTATTTTGAATAAGATGATCAAGAGCGGATCCGTTCAATTGAGAATGCAGTGAGTTCGTTAGGTGTGCCTGCTAAAATCACTTTCCATTGCATCAGATTTGTGCAATTTCCTCCCAAATGTGTACACCCAAGTTGTAATCCATTGGGTACCATGCCATTTGCTCCACACAAGATCCTTCAAAACGACGCTTACAACTAGTTGTATTAATTACCGCAACAACTAATTCACCAAAGTACTGTGCGTTAAGTACTACAAGAGGAATTGTATTAAATCAACTTAAAAAATCACCCCATATTATGATTCATACACAAATCGTCATTCAAACGTTAATATTTGCTACAGAAATGGCTTATGCATGTATATATGCCATTTATACTTGTATTTTATTTGATGAAAATTGGTCCTTATAAACAAAGAGTGAAACATTGGACGCGGTCTCAATTTCCATCCTTAAAAATACTGTTGCAGATTATTATTAGTAGAAGTTATGCGCATGGTATTAGTATTTGGCCACTCGGGCCAAATGAGCCAGAACACATTATTTGTTCCTGGTTAGAGATGATCACTTTTACAATAGTTAACTTTAGATTTTTAAATAATTTGTGAGGACCCATCTTTCACTCTTTGCACAAGACGTAAAAAATCCAAGATAGAGTATTTATACCTCTGCAGCCAAAAAACAAGAAAGGTTGTTGTGAAATAAATATTTCATTGTCCAAGTAATACATCTTTTCATCTGCAATTGATGCTTGCCTCAAAACCATGGTTTTGAACACCGAAACATATTTAATTGCTTAAATTCCATGAATGAACGACTGCATTGGTGCTATCTCACGTGTCGCTTCCGACTTTCCTGAAAAAATATTGCCCTAAGCGTGTTTTGTACCATGACTGTAAAGGTAAAGCGGGAGTCAGTCTGATTTTTAATGCATAAAATCAAAGAAACTGGAGCACCTTTTTGAGTTAGTGCGACTAAATCTACTTTTGCGGTATAAATGGGCATTCTAAATAGATCCTTATAATGGTTTTTCAAGAATGTCATGTTCTTTAAAGTGATAATACTTTTACTACTCGCAAAATTCAGTAAAAGTGTAAACTTTAGTTTGTAAATCTAAAAAGCGTCTTTAATGATTTATTGTCATGTTACATGAATCTATTATCAAGCCAGAATATTAGACTACGCAATTTGCAATTGAATGGGGAAATATTTGTAGATATCTAACAGATCCATTCTAACATTTTTCGACAACTTCAAAGGTAGGTAAAAGCAGTTCAAATTTCAAAGACGCTGCCTAAAAACCATGAAGAATTTTTCATTGTTGAAAAACTTTACTATGTAACATTGCCTGTATGATGACTGGAAGACCCTAATAAGCATGCATCTGAACTCCTAATAAGCGGACATGACTGACCTCCTCAGATAATGCGCAATGCCTCTAAGCCAAAAGTGTGAATTTAAAACTTCATTTATTTGTCACCGGTAGACATACTAAGGTTTTGTGCGTCCTTAGCTTAAATCAGATGGAGCAGCAGCACTGACAGCAACCACAATGCAGGTTTGATTAACAGCAATGCATTAGACGTATTATCTTTTCCACATAACCCGTAGGCCTTCATAGCATAAAATTACGTAAAACTGAAATCTGTTTTGTCTATCTTATTAACGCTTACGTTTAAGCAGTGAGACAAGTGGATTTACCTGACACAAATGAAATATTTACTGTCAACAGTAAAAAATTTCTATAATTCTAAAAAAACGAAACGATAGATTATGTAGGGACCATTTAACTATTAATTCCAGAACGATTTTTGTTTTAATAAATGGTGAGTCCTAAGGAAAATTAATCTCCATCTTCTATTAAGTCGGTTTTAAAATCGAATGACTTCCAAATAGCATGATCTACTTTTACAACATCCTTAAATGCTATAAAACACATTTGGCAAGGCACTTCCGGAGCTTTGACTAAATCAAACCTTGTTTATAAAACTAGAATTACGATTTACACTTCCTGGGTATAACAAAACCTCGTGATTAGAGAATAAAAATACCTTTCTGAGAGACTGAGGCACATTTACGGTTTATAATGTATGCACTTGAACGGCTGAACGCACTTTTTACGTTTCTCTAACTTACAAGAAGTAATTACAGTGTGCGGTGCCGAATACCTTGCCAACTTTTGCGTAGCCCAGGATATTATTTCGAGACATTTTTGAAACAATGGTTCCCTAGTATGGTAAATGCAAACACCGAATTATTATAAGCACAGGATTTAAAAGAAGTTTTCTAGTGGTTAGCAGCAGATGAGCCGAATTTAGTGAAGTTCAATTTTTGTATTTGAAAATATGCAGTAAAGCTTAAAGGATTTAAACGAAAAAGGCAAACAGAATCACATTTAAAGGAAGTCCTAATGAAGACAAGCTCGTATAATTACTTGAATATTGTAAAATAATTACGGCAGAAAAGAGCATTTCTAAAGGCATTCGAGTAAGTAGCTCACTTTAAAATGGCTGCAGTGCAGGAATTTGGTCGGTAAGGAAGGGTTCGAGTCGAAAAGGAGCGAATTCGTGGCGTACAATTATCCGCCTCAGTGATAAAATTAGCTTGACAAAGGTTTCTTTTCAGATTAGAATGTACTACTAATAAGCGTTAATGACTTAAAAATAATCGTCGATTTCTGTCGGAGATGGTCACAGTTACACTTTGAAATTGGTCGGCCAGGCGTTTAAAACAACCTTTAGTTACCCTAAAGTCAAAGGTTTCAGAACCCACACTAACAAACAGAAGGAGTCCGTCATGTGAGGACAAAAATATTTGTCAATGATTCTAATTTTCAGGGCTTGTTAAAACTAGGAACTAAACGACTGATATTTTCGTGAAAGTGCAAAATAATGTCAGATTGTTACTTTAGTTTTGGCAAAAAACGTCCAAGGAGTCTAGTTTACAAAAGAACCAGCTCTTATTAAAATCTCGTTACTAGTGGTTTAAAAGAAACTGTTGAATTAGCAGGATCATTACTTAAGGAAAGTAGGGATGTATGCCATTTTAACCAGCTTAATGAATACATAAAACAGCAAAAGAAAACAGAAATTATTATATGCCACTTAAGATGGTTAAAGTAGCAATTTTTAAACTACTGATTAGATGATTCCTTAATACGCCGACAACTGCGTGATTGAAGGTGAGTATAAAGTGAAATATATCAGTCTAAATTGTAAAATGGTTGTGTGTTATAAAAAGTTACTTTTAAACAGGTGATTAAGAATTTTAAATGGTTTGCTGGTTGGATGTTTCTTGAATCAGACTCTCCAAATCCTTTTTAAAACTGAAAAAATTTTGTGCTCAATGGAATAGAGTCGGCTGTTTTGTCGCAAGTAGTCTACAAGTACATACCATCACAAATTTTTGGAACATTTATGCTAAGTGTAAGGTTATTTTTACACAAAGGCATATCTTCGTATTAAAAGTGGGTGTTTAAGACTACATTTTAGAATGCAACAGTATTTAATGAAGGAAAAATGACTAAAATAGCAGGTTCGCTACCTTGTGGTAAAAATCACGTGTGCCATTAAGGTTTTTTAACCAATTTGCGATTTATAAAATTAAAAAACGAATGACTCAAACTGATGCGAAGCACAGGTCTCTATTATCGCCTCTCGCAATCCCAAAGTCACATGTAAATAAATCCTTGAAAATTGTGGACCAAAACGTATTAAATTATAGCCCTCATGCCCATTCTGAAGACGTCGTAAAGTCTATGGTTTTAGATAGAACTCTATCTTAAGTACACAGAGCGGCAAATGGACTGTTGATAAAGATGGCACAAACAGAACACCGCGCTAACAGGATGCTGACTGAAACCTGGACAGGTGGGTTAAACTAAAAAAATCTCATAAACATGGAATAACGGTAAATATTACTCGCAATAATTCCTACCTACAGAACATATGCATTTTATGGTAAGGTGACCATCAATGAAGAGGTGATGTACTTTTTGTTTGAACTGAGATTTGAGAATGACTACCCAAAATTCTCGCAAGCAAATAGAATTTCAATTAAAATAGGAAATATTCGGCTTTTAACCAAAGGTGCTCACCTGCATCCAACCATTACTGCCTCAACAGCCATTGGCTGCCCGTCACGGACGTTGGCTCCTAAAATACGCACCTACAGAGTGCAACCCATTGCAGCCTGGAGGTTGTGGCACATACTTAAGTGACGTTGATCCTGCCACCACCGATGACATTGCTGCTTCTGCTGCTGCTGATACTGCGGCTCATTAGCTGCCCCAGTAGGACACGAGCTGACGAATATCATGTTGTTGCTGCAGGTCCGTGCGTCGAGGAGGGCGACTTCTACTGCAGTCGTCGAGTGCCCAACAGTTTCTGCTCGGTGACCAAAAATGAGTGCTTCTGCCAACCAGCTTTTGTAGCCATCCAGGAGGAGTATGGAATTACCTGTAAACCTTGTAAGTCATTGAGTACCGTTAAAAAATTGCACATTCGTTTAGCCCAATACTATGGGTACTTTATGAAAAATAAAATTGCCTCATTATGTGTACAAAATGAGCAGATTTTGCGGATATGTGTTTAAATATTTTGCGGAACACCAAAATTAGGCTGCATCTTCCATAACAATTAGTTATTACACGAAATTGTGTTAATATTTTCCGAGCAAATATTTATTACCTATTGTGTTGAACTTTTGAGCATAAAAACTTTGAGGAAGATATTTTTCATGGTAAGTTATAAGGAATTTAAGAATTATACGGGTCTGCTTTGGCTGGATATCTACTGCTAAAATGATTAAGAGAGGGCATCCTTGATCAAATATTAATGCTAGCTACGAAGTCAAATAATTCAGAACTAAAGTAAGAAATTCAGAAGGGTTCAAAAGTTTCTAAAATAAATTAGATTAAATTTCATTACTAAAGCTTGAAAGTGTGCCAGTGCAAATCGTCGGTTACTTCGCTATCTTTTTGATTATATCTTGTGTTTACAAGGATTTCTTACCACTCCGGCCTCGAATAGATGGAAACTTGTTTAGAATAATCTATCCATTGCTACTGAATACAAAAGTAACCAGTCAAAACCTGCAATTCACCTCAGCCTATGTGCGCTGCATTTATCTGAAATATTTATGGGACTTTGTAAAACTTGCTTAAATCGTGGCAATTCAAGAAGTCAAACGTCAAACTGACAACTTACATTTGTTCTAGTAGATTTCAGGCAAATAAGTGAATAATTTCCGTCATTACCTATACGTAATTGGGCTTCTCACTTAAATTAAAATATATTTTAAAGTCAAGGTGGAAAACCAAGTTAGTTGTGGAACCCATGTAAATGCGAAAGTGTGCGAACAAGAAACAAAACAGTATTATTTTTAAATAATTATTTGGGGTAAACTTTAAGGCAATTCCTTGGTTAGTGCTTGATTGCAATATGCAGAAGCCGTCATTTATACGGGGCTTATTTTATATAAAGTTGTTAATAAATAATAGTTAACTGGAAAGGATTTTTACTAAGAAAGGCCAGGTAGAAAACAATGATTACCCATCTTCTTGAAACTGTCTGATTCATTCTTCTGTCCGGCGTTCGCAGTTGTTAATCACCCGTAACTGTTTCCATTTTTTTAAATAAAAAGTTTTATTTTATAAGAAGGCAAGTTGAATAAGTTAGCTGCGTAAAATCAATTTCAAACATTTTGTGACTTAATGGTATTTTTTAGCAAAATGTGTTAGAAATCTGTGAACCGCTTTTTATCATTTTCCGAGTTGAATTGAGAATAAGGCCAAGTGCTGGCACTAAAATCAAGTGTTTGATGGTATGTACATTACACACCATGTGCATTGTTTTATATAAAATTGGAGTATCACTTCCAGTGGTTGGCACCACTAATGTATAGTGATGGAAAATGATACGAATTATTTTATTACCTTATGATGACTACGAATTCGCTGTCTACTTGAACCCTAGAGCATTGTAAGTATTTCACAAAACAATCCCCTAAAGCACCTAAATCTCTCTACGCATTAATGTGTCGCCGGGAGGTAAAAAGTCACCATTAGTTCCATAGACAAACTTATATGGTGTTTTTAAGCATATCAGCAACTCATTCTTAGTCTGATTTATCGAAAATGGTTTGTAGCATTGCTTAACCATTGCGAAATGCATAACTAAAGGAACTCATTGCGAGTGATCATGCCTTTTTAGTATAATCAAACGGTAAACTTTACTGATCTAGTTGTTCGTATTTCGGAGCTGGCTGTTATGTTTATTATCTCAAATTATTAAGCCTCTCGGCAATTAGCGTAAAAGAATGTAAATAAAAGTGATAAGTAGACCAGTGGTTGTCTGAATGACAAGAGCGGTGTCTTGGCATTATCGTAGGCGCCAGAAAGGATGGCAATGCTTACAAATTACTGTTTGTTAATTGGCATTCGAGGAAAAGGATTAAGCAATATAGGGGTTGGTAAAAAATAATAGTGGTTGGAATTGGATGACACCTACATGTGGGTAATGTGGAATAGGTATAGTAGTGGTTAGAGGCAAAACTTTGTATGAAAGCTTATTTTGCTTTCAAATACGGCTAGCCATAAAGTGTACTGGTGATTACTCTTAAAAAAGTAAACATTTGGAGAAGCTTTCCGCATTTTTTCTTATATTTAAATATCGGTGCAGATTTATTGTGCTTTCTTGCATAACTTAAAACAATGCTCCTTAAATCTGGTTAAAATTTGCAGATTTTCCTGCAAAATTCCGCAAAGTTAAACAACTGTGGTCATTTTGTCCCCTTTTAGCTGATAAAATCATCATAAAATTGTCTTGAGTTTCTAATCAGAACACGCCATGTATTATCAGTAATTTATTTGCAAATTCTAATGGGTAAAACTAACAATGCAAACGAGAAATGTAGCATTACACTACTGCCTGCAAAGTATTCACGAATTTCTTAAAAGTTAGGGTGGTTTCATTTTCTCAAAAGTTTGACAATTCTCGGTACATTACTTACCGTTCAGTAAGAAGTTTTGAAAAATAAAAAGTAATTAATTTGGTGGTTAAAAAGGTGTGAAAACGGATTTCCGAATCATCTTTCAAAGGGGCTGAATTTAAACTTGTCTAAATGCTTTGCTGATTAAGTAGTTGGTTGAACTTAGTTTTAGCCAGGTGTAATGAACGAGCCTTGATGATTTGAAAGTACATTTAAATTAGCTAGGAAAAATACTTTTCCAAATATATTTAGGGAAACTTATGCATTATTTAGAGCCAACTTTAAGAATAAATGAAGCTGACTTGGGATATTTATTCTGTCTCAAGTGGAACGTTACATGCTAACTGCGTGGTTGGTAACACTGTGATTAGAGTAACAAATTCTGATTAGTGTCATTTAATTTGTTCTTTTTTATCAAAGTATAGTACCAGAATTTTTCCAGGACCGTCAAGATGCATACCAGAACTGAGGAGAGCTTGTGCTCAACCTACAGAGGCTGTTAAGCTTGGCTAGAAACCCAAATAGAAAAGTGACACTATGGTGATTAAAAAGAGCCGGATTAAATTTACTACTAAAATCAACAACATTAGATCAAAGAGAACAGTTGTAGACATTAATCTCATTACAAAGTTCTCACCGATTTTTTCCCTAAAAAGGAATGCCATCAATATAAGTGACTAAAGTGACACTTCATTCCATTCCAGTGCTTACGTCTCTCAACTGCCATGTAGACAAGGACTGCGTCCACGTGAAGAACAGCATCTGCCACCCTGGGGCGGGATTTTGCGCATGTCCCGGTGGCACTGCCTACGTAGCTCAAGAACATGCCTGTCGTAAGCATTTTTTATTCCTATTTTAGTTAATAAAACAACCAAATAACTTCGCGCCAGTATTTATGCTAGAAGTTAGATAACTAAAGAAAGTTT